GATTTTTCTTTCACCTTCAATTTGCAGCTGTAGAGCCTCTAATTTGTCCAGTTCCTCGTGGGCTATAAGGCTTTCAAAGATATATTCCATCGTCCCTGATCTAATCGCCGGCCAATTATTCTGATCCATGACGAATTAGGGTTTCTGCTCCGATTCAAAGATTATTCACCTGAAATTTGATTTTGATGATTAGGAACAAAATTGAATTCTAAGGTTCTTAAAATTATTCGTCGTTTAAAAAGCGTTCAGTTTTTTTTTTTTTTTTTTTAAACTGTGCCGTATTGTGTTAGGTAATTGGCATTTTGCACCCTTTAATTCTGCATATTTTGCACTTTGCACCCATAAAGGCATAAATTAAAAATATGGCAGCTTGCACCCTTATTGTGTTAGGTAATTGGCATTTTGCACCCTTTAATTCTGCATATTTTACACTTTGCACCCATAAATTAAAAATATGGCAGCTTGCACCCTCAAATTAGGTGGCATAGAGCACCCCATAACCTAAAAGTGTTGGGATAAAACTTAAAAGGATTTTGGGGAAACTAAAAGGGTAAATTTGTCAATAAATTCACTACCAACCTTTTTAATTACAAAAAATGATTATATCTCGTTCTTCATTGTTCACGGATATAATTAACATTAATTGACCATTTTGCCCATTGAATTACGGTAAAATCATTTTTTTGGATGCAAATTTTAGTAGAAAAGTGTCTTGGGGTGCAATCTTAATTTGAGGGTGCTTTCTGCCATATATTTAATTTAAGGGTACAAAGTGCCAAATGATCATAATTGTAGGGTGCAAAATGCCAATTAAGTGGATTTGTAAATTTTTACTTTTGAGGGCCCAATATGAGTATAATGACTAAGAAGCAGAAAACAACAGCTGAATAATGAGTTGATGATGCCTAATTACTATTGAAAATATTAAAATCACGACTACTGGAAAAAGAAAGTTGAGAAACATCAGCCTAATTACAAGATAACATCCCGAAAAACGAACATATGTAAAACTTTCGTATGACTAAGCTCCTCTGCAAGAATCAAAGAATCAACACTGAATTTTGGTTGAAGGTCCGGTTATGAAATTTCCACACGCCTTCAAGTTATCTATCGTACTTTTGTCGCAATCTACTTTCTCAACAAGTCCACCTACAAAACCGAACGCAAAAAATGATCAATACACAAACAGAGGCAATAAATGAAACCAATAGATTTATGAAGTTGTTTTTCGTTAGAATTCGCTTCACAACAAAGCTAATTCACTGAAATCAATACATTTTTTTTTTCTAAAAGGGCATTCAGGTAATTTATGTGAAACTCGCGGATCAAATACCTATATAAGTATCAACTCTGTACCGGTCAAAAAGATTGATTCAACGAAATCGATTATCCGAAATATATTACATCATCTCTAATCTTCATTGTTTTTCCTAATCTCTAATCTGATCCTCTAATATAAGATCAAGATCCTCGATCGGGAAATCGCGTAAATAACAGTCGGATCAACGGTCAACCGTCTACCAATCTATTGCCCGGCTAAGCACATAACCATAATCCTAATTGTTAACAATAATTTTAAATTCAGGATAATCAATTAGCAATGCCACACACAAAAAAAAAAGATTGCACAAATTACCTCCGCTAATACGTGAATTGTAGAGCACGGCACTCGGGTTCCGATACAACATCGAACTTCCCTTCAGCCAATTCATAAAGCACGCCAACTGTCATAACTCCAATCCCCAACTCCTCCGCGAATCGCTGGATGCTTTCGACATCTCGAGCTTTCCTCCCCAAACAGAATCTAAGCTTCTTCGCCGGAAAATTCTTTCTCACCGTCAGAATTGCCGACAGATCAGCTGGCTTCAAAATCTTTACCCACTTGGACGTGGAGAAAGCTTCAATCTTGCGATGCAATTCGGCTTCCTTTTCATCCGATTTCTTTTGCCAGTACTCGCACACGCTCTTCTGCCGATCAATGGCTTCTTCAATTGAACCGATTTCGGTTTCTCCGATCGCGGTATCTTTCTTCATCGGATTGAGTTGCAACTGAAGAGCACTCAATTGATCAAGTTCCCTCCTCGCACCACTCATGTAAAACAGAAATACTTCCGTATCTTCTCTGATCGCCGTCCACCGATTCTCCTCCATGCGGAATTTAGGGTTTCTGCTCCGATTCAGAAATTATTCACCTGAAATTTTGATTTGATTAGGAATAAAATTGAATTCTAGGGCTCACTCAAATTACCGATGTTTATATAGTGTTCAGTTTCTAAAGTGGGCTCTGACGTGTCAGCCCAATCTGAGTATTGACCATTGACTTCTTTCATATAAACCCCCGATGTAATGTCAAATTACAAAAAAAAATCTCATTTTGTTTGGGTAATTACAACCACCACTCAACTATGAATCTTGTTACACGTCCACCACCAAATTCAACATAATCTTCTAGATCTCGTAGAATGTTTTTTAAATCTGCACTCATTTTGTGCAAAAATGCGGTTTATGATTGTATCACAATCTGTTATTTACAAGCCAAGAGATACATCTTGTGATCATCTTGTTTCGGAATGTAGAGTTCGAATAGGGTAAAATGAGTACAAATTAGAGAATATTCCACATAATCTAGAAGATTCCACTAAATTTGACACCACAAGGGTGGACGTATAAGAAGATTCATAGTTGACGGCTAATTGTAATTAGGGTTTTCGTAATTCGACATTACCTCAAGGGATATCCCGTAATTTACCCTAATAACAATAATAATAAAGGGAAATAAAATAAAGGGACATATCAACTTAAGAAATGAAATAAACTTCATTTCAATACCCTTTTCTTGGTTGTCACAAGAAAACAAGAGCTCAATGATTTGAATGTCAACCTTTGAATATTCTTTGTTTACTTTATTACATTTTGAATGCAAATACAAAATCAAATAAAATTAAAGGAAATTTACAGCCCAAATAAAAAATCAACTAAATACAATCTATTGTGTGTATATGGTAAATACATTCTTAAATATATATATATATATATATATATATATATATATATATATATATATATATATATATATATATATATATATATATATATATATATATATATATATATATATATATATCTCTCTGTCTCTGTGTGTGTGTGTGTCTGTGTGTATGTGTGTGTG